GGTACTGTGCATTTTACGGAATCCATGCTGGTGGCTGGCTAGGCTCAGGTGGTGGGTGAAGGTCGGGAGTAACAAGGCTTCTAGTGTCTTCACTACTGGGGAGAGGAGAGTTATCGGACGATAAGATTCCCCTTTGTTGGCGGGTTTCAGTAGTGGGACCACTCTTCCGACTTTCCACACATCGGGTATTTGAAGAGTGATCAGCGACAGGTTGAGGACCTACTCCCACGACAGCCGGTTCTACGTACCGGAATTGACTCGGATTTCATCCCACCATGGGCTGTCCTTTCGGCGATCTAACCCCGTTTGGATCTAACCGCTACTGCGAGTTGTACAACTGCAACAATCATCACCCACTCGCCTCTCCCTCACCCCCCTTATCACACATGAACACCCGCGTCAAACTCGAATACTGCAATTCAACTTCAACGTATAATGTTAGGATAATGTCGTCTCAACAATTGAAGGACTTAGGAGAAGACATGCCACTGACCCTTCTTCACATCTACAGCATTTCGAAGGGGTTAAACATCACAAAATTTAAAGTTACTCTCGGCAGCGAAACGGTGTGAAGTGATTCCACACTCGACTTGTACTGTAGGGCAGCACCATCCGGTGGTACACTGACGGCCCGAAAATATCTGAAGGTATTGGTGCAGGCATTGCGGGACCGCAGACCTAGCTTTCCATACCCATGGGGTGTTTTCCAACCATCTTTTAAGCAGAGGTGCTAGAGTCAGTGTGCAGAAATTAATCTCCAACGCCACTATCGTAACCAGCGCAGCTAGTTAAGCGGCACTAAAAGCGACCTAAGCCTATGATATCAAATTCGCTCTTAATGGAGTATTGTGTAAAAGGGATGAACTGCCTATCAGGTTGCAACCGTGTACACCTGATCAGGGTGCCGGGTCATAAATGGATAGCATGCAACGATTTGGCCGACGAACTCGCCCGCTCTGCTTCGGTTTCTAGGATGATGGGGCCACAACCATGCATTGCGGTGGGATCCCACACCATTAAGGAACTGCTTCGCACATAGAAAAAAGTGGATAGAGAATGGCACTGACCGCAGGCAAAAGAAATGCGCCATACCAATCTGCTATTGTGAGGCTACAACCTAACAAGGTTTGAAGATATGATCAGCTTCCCTTCCGTTTCCTTGACGTGCTATATACTGGGCACTGCAGGCTCAAGAAACAACTGCCCAACAAGTACATGGTTTTGCACCATGGAACCGGAAACTCCAGCATACCTGCTTATAGATTGCCAAGCAATTTGTGGAAGCAGGCTCAAGGCATTTGCTTTCATCTACGTGAAAAGGGATCACATCCCCTCCATTGGGCACAGAGTGCTGGGCCTTTGTATATGTGATAGAAGAAAGGAAACAATAGATAAAACTTTTTTTTTACCGTTTAGTTTGAAGTGCCGAAAACCGATAAGCATTTCTAGAGTTGATCGCTCTCGGACTAAAGAGAATTAATAAATTTTTCTAATTCCGCTATATAAAAGGTAATTGCATGTTTTTTCTCATTGTAGAATGGTTTAAATGCGCTCCATTTAGCAGCTAAAGATGGTTATGTCGATATCGTGAGTGAACTGCTACGACGTGGCATTAAGGTAGACAATGCCACAAAAAAAGGTAATACAGCATTACATATTGCATCATTGGCCGGCCAAAAAGAAGTCATTAAATTACTTAACCAGTATAACGCAAATGTTAATGTCCAATCATTAAATGGTTTTACGCCACTTTATATGGCAGCTCAAGAAAATCATGATGCTTGCGTTCGTTTTCTATTATCAAAAGGAGCGAACCCATCACTCGCCACTGAGGTAAGTCTGAAAATATTTCTTTAAAACAAAGCACATTAATTTAAGTACAGTATAAATGAAAATACTTTATGTTTCATACATATCTAAAGACAATCGAAAGTGCTAGACACTACTGAAAAAATAATTACTTCGGCTGAACGAAGCTGTAATACCCCTTATCTTTGGGTATATCTCTTTTAGAAACTCTATGAATAACATAAACGGATCCGGATTTTTATCCGTCCAGGGACTGTCAACTCGGCTCCATGCCTCGAAGTTACTTCAGGAATGTTTTTTGCTCCTAGAACAACAATATATTCTTTAGTTTAAACATACATTCGATTTGTTTATTCGTATATTATTGTTTTTTTTTTGTTTTTAAGGATGGATTTACGCCACTGGCTGTTGCCATGCAACAAGGTCACGATAAAGTAGTTGCTCTTCTTTTGGAGTGCGATGTTCGTGGAAAAGTTCGTTTGCCAGCACTACATATTGCAGCTAAGAAAAATGATATAAATACCGCTAGTTTATTATTGCAGAGAGAAGTCAATCCGGATATTGTGTCTAAATCGGGATTTACACCATTGCATATCGCAGCACACTATGGCAACGTGCATATTGCTAATTTACTGATCGAGCATGGAGCCGATGTAAATTTTACGGCGAAGCATAATATAACGCCTTTACACGTAGCCTGCAAGTGGGGTAGAACTAATATCCTGGATTTATTATTGTCAAAACATGCAAATATTAATGCTACCACGCGTGATGGTCTTACACCACTTCATTGCGCGGCCCGTTCAGGTCATGTCGATGTCCTTGAGATATTACTTGCGAATAATTCTCCCATACTTTCGAAGACAAAAAATGGGCTTGCTCCGCTTCACATGGCAGCACAAGGTGAACATGACGAAGCAGCTCAACTACTGTTGGCGCATAAAGCGCCAGTTGATGAGGTAACCGTTGACTATTTAACTGCTTTGCATGTTGCAGCCCATTGTGGTCATACGCGCGTTGCCAAACTTTTACTGAATTACAACGCCGATGTCAATGCTCGCGCTCTTAATGGGTTTACGCCGTTACATATCGCTTGTAAAAAAAATCGCATCAACGTCGTTGAACTACTGCTGAAACATGGTGCAATCATCAGTGCCAAAACCGAATCGGGTCTGACTCCATTACATGTTGCTAGTTTTATGGGTTGCATGAACATTGTCTTATATCTATTGCAACATGATGCTTTACCCGATGCACCAACTGTTCGAGGAGAGACGCCACTGCATTTAGCCGCTAGGGCGAATCAAACAGATATTATACGAATCTTACTTAGAAATGGTGCACAAGTTGAAGCACGGGCCCGAGAAGGTCAAACACCACTTCATGTAGCCGCACGTTTAGGAAATATTGACATAATTATGCTTATGTTGCAACATGGTGCTAACGTTGATGCTTTAACTAAGGACATGTATACGCCATTGCATATTGCAGCGAAAGAGGGACAAGAAGAGGTTGTTCAATTACTGGTCGAAAACAATGCGGAATTAGATTCAGTTACTAAGAAAGGATTTACCCCACTGCATTTAGCAGCTAAATATGGTAATGGCAAAGTTGTGGCCTTACTATTACAGCGTGGTGCTAAAATCAACTGCCAAGGCAAGAACGATGTAACGCCTTTACACGTGGCGACACATTTCAATCATCCGAAAGTGGTATTTTTATTACTTGAGCGAGGTGCTTCTCCTTTGCTTTGTGCTAAAAATGGACACAGCGCCTTGCATATTGCAGCTAAAAAAAATGAAATGGAAATAGTGCAGCAACTACTTCAACATGGTTCAGATCCTGATTGTCTCAGCAAATCCGGCTTCTCACCGTTGCATTTAGCGGCACAGGAGGGTCATGTTGCTGTGGTGAATTTATTGTTGGAGCATGGAGTTAACGCCAACGTTCAAGCCAAAAATGGTTTAACACCCCTGCATTTGTGTGCTCAAGAAGATAAAACTGATGTAGCGCAAATACTCATTGATCATCAGGCTAATATATCCGAGCGTACTAAAGCCGGATACACTCCGTTACATATAGCAGCACATTATGGTCAAATAAAGATGGTAAAATTTTTACTAGAAAATGATGCTAATATCGAAATGAGTACTAATGTGGGCTATACGCCATTACATCAAGCAGCACAGCAGGGCCACATAATAGTCATCAATTTACTTTTGCGGCATAAGGCTAATCCAAATGCCGTTACCGACGTAAGTACATATATTATCAAAACAATTAACAATATGTTTACTCATTTTCCCTATTATGGTGAACAACTCTAGAAAGTCAGACTTCTACAATTTGGTATAATCAAACATTTCTTAATGGAAAAAAATCCAATTCTAAGCAATTTATTTTATTTTATAAAAGTAAAATCATAGTACTGAAGATTCGACTTGGCTTGACAAAAGTTAAAAATGTGAAATTAATACTTTTAAAAGTAATGGCGGTTTTTTGTTGTTCCAGTTGGCAGCCAAGCTCTGCTGCTATGACCATACCTAATTGAGCGAAGTCGACCAGCCACAACCCATTTGGCGTTATTTCATCGTGGAGGCTGAATTTACCGACCGTTTTGCTGAAGATACCTTCTTTGTCCACCTTGGGGGTAAAGTCTCCAAGCACCATTTTGATATCAGTGCGAGGTCAGCTTTCATACGTGCGCTTCAAGCGCTTATAGAAGATATCTTTGGTCACATAACCCTTCTCTTCTGTCGAAACGCGAGCGCAAATCAGCAATATATTGAAGAGCTTCGGTTTGATACGGATTGTGGGTAGTCGTTTTCTTCTTTTTATTGGGCGTGTTCTTTACGTGGCCGATCCCAAACCCAGCGCACAACCCTGGTTAGGAAGTCATGAGCTGCATGAGCCCTATGTAAAAGAATCGTTTCTGGCCACTTCCAAGTGAAGGACGCTTAGAGAACTTTCCTTACTTGCATAAACTTCAACACATGGAAAAGAATTTGTATACTTTTTTCATAAATATTTAATTGGCAAACTGTATATAAAGGAAAGTAATGTTAGAAACACTATTTATAACCAAAGAACTGCTGATCCGATTTGGGCCAAATTTGTTGGGAAAGTTGCTTAGAACCACGGCCCGGATATTGGATTCTTTTTCTCTCTTTGTATTATTACTTAAAAAAAAAGTAAAAACAACATAGCTAATGCAAGAGAACAGTAATTTTGGTTCGTATACATAGTACATGGTTCATACGGGGTCTAATCATTGATTCCGTGTCGATCGAAAAACTTGACAATTTGATAGAAAATTATTACGTTGAAATCATTGAAACCGTCTCGAAAATATTCGACGAAATCTATCCGTTGATGAGTGAACGGCGTAAATTGATTTTTAAGTATTTATGTACAAAAAATAGAAGGGGGCGCACTAAATTATGTTGTAGTTGTGTGATTTAGAGTAAAAGAACAAAAATCAGAATCATCGGCCACCTAGCGCCAAGCTATGCTAGGCGTGTGTTGCCAGCAATGGCGTGGTTTTACCGCTGCGTATGCTTGTTGTTGTTCTTGAAGTGGCGTGGTTTTCCCGTTGTGTTATGAATAATAGAGTATGCCTTTATGGGTTGTGTGGACTAAATTCTATATAGATATTTAGTTCTCACACAAGTCGGCTGGCAAGGTTATGACATCAGTCTTTTCGAATGTACGTGGTATAATATTCATCGACTGATTACTGTGCCAGTTATAATTCATTCCACTGTGTATTTTGTTGCAGTTCTATTCTAATATTCGAAATATTTATTTTTGAAGCAGGATCAATTTGAAATAGTACGCATATAGTTCATCGTTTCTGTTTAAATATTCCCCGCTAGAGAGATTCGATAATATAAAAGAAAAAAAGTAATAATATAAAAGATAAAAAGTAATAATATAAAAGATAAAAAGTAAATGACAAAAAAATGTTATTGTGGGATATTGACAAGGGATAGACATATACTACAGCGTAGTTTTCTGTAGATATTTTTTAGTACAATACTTAGTCCATTATTTTGATAAATCTCTTAGGGTTCAGACTGCGTTTGCAACGTAAGCGGAAAAAATTTAATTATTTACGACATCACCTTAGAAAACTGAAAAATAACAGTATTTCTCCACTATTTAATGATTATATTATACATATAAACCTTCCTCTTCAGTCACTCAATCTATTGAAGAAAACCGCGTCAAAATCCGTAGTAGTTTTAAAGATTTAAGCATATAAAAGGACAAAATTTGTTGATAACACAGTTTATTTATGGTATGGTGAAGCAGGTTATTTATTTTCGTTAAAAAATTATTTCCTCAACGAATTCGGTTTCGATGCAGATTCAATAATTAGATCCATGGATTGTTACTACTTAACAATATTCACGAAAGATTGCAAAACACCCTCAGAAATAATACAATTCTTAGTTATCGGTAAAATAGAACTACAACCAAATCTGCAATCAAATGCAGTTTAAATCATTTGCTACTGTTGTTGTTTATAAAAATGTAAATTATCTACATATGCATGTAAATATACTATATAAAAATATTATTGCTAAAAGTTGAGATTTTGATTCTAATTCTACCCCCGTTCATTATCTCAAATGTTATCAACTAACAACTTTGAAAATTATTAATTTGTTGCAGACTTGAATATAAAATTAAAAATTATGTTTATTTGCGCTTAATAAAAAATCCAAGCACATTTGTATCGATAATTTTCAAATTCGGAAATAATATTCAAATAAACCACGTGAATTCTTACACTCATAAATACAATTTTACTGTATTGAATAGTTGATAGTTAATGTATAATTTAGCCACAGCAACGCGGCCTATACTACTTTATAAAAAATTCAAATTAAAAATCTACTTCGATCAGTATATGTTTCTATGCTTTCCAAAAACTGTATAAATACGCACAAAATCTACCGAACGGTTTTCGAACTAGTTGTTATTAGTTTTGAGGAAAAACCTTTTGAAGTTTTACACTCAATTTTCGTGCATAGGAGAATTTTTTTTAAAAACTCCATAAATTGAGTTGTCCATACAAAATTTTCTTGTGTTTACTACCGTGTGTAAGTGCAACTTTTTTTTTTTATTAATTTTTTATTATTTTTAAAATTTATGGCAGATTCTGCAAGCAACGTAATTTCGCATTCCCGTCGTAAACCAGAAAATGATATATTCAACAAATATAATACAATTTATATACATGGTTTCGCATATATCTAGGTCTTCACTTATAATTTTTCATAATGCCTACCTATTTATAATAACAACCCTGCGTTGTAAGAAAGCGAATATTTACGATATACGGTTTTGCATCGTTCATCCATAAACGAAGAGGGCAAAACAAGCACTTACAATGGGACAAAGCAACTGTGAAATATGTATGAAATCAGCAGCAACCAATTGATTTCTTATTTATGAATCAATATACCAAACCTAATTCGAATCGGAGAGGGTGGAATATGAGTAAACAATAATTAAATATATTTTTCCACTAAAAAAAATAAATAAAAGATCGTCATTTTTTGTTTTATTTAAATAAAACAAAAAAGTTTTGGGAATCAATGAGATCCTTTATACCTATGAAAGTACTTTCGTTGTCATTATGTAGAAGTCCAGACGCTGAAATCAATTTTCGACGGTATTCAAGCATAAATCGGCTAATCGGCAATTTCAGGTTCGATACACGTACGGAGTTCATTAACCGTCGTTATCATTGAGCGGTAGCGATTCCCAGTCACAGTAACTTGCCTTGATCATTACGGAAGAAGTACGGTACAATGACGCCGCCGGCCTATAAACTTTACCAAACCGTAATTTTTCGGGATGCAATGGCTGCTCAAATCCATTCAGCTAGAAATGAGCCTCATCGCTGAAGATGATTTTTCGATGAAAATGCGGATATTTTTGAAGTTGCTTCTCAGCCCAATTCACAAACATACGACGATTCTGGTGGTCAAGTTGCTTCAGTCCTTGCATCAATTTGATCTTGTAAGGATCTTTTCTCAAAATTTGCTACACAGAGATGGTAGGTAACAAAGTATTCATATCTCGTTAAAACATTAAAACAGCTGATGGCATAGTTTTGTAACAAATGACATGCAATTTTCGGGAACTTGAATCCATGATGGTTGCTTCGTTTCTTATACCGTTACTGGCGTTGAGTCCAACCCAGGTCGAGAGGAATTATTTTGCTCCGTTTGCGCATGAAGGCTCCATCCAAACAATGCTGATCTCAGTGCTTGTAACACTTTCAAAATATAATAAAAAATTTTTTATTTGCTTTTTCGATAGGATATTTCCATAAATATCCTGTGAAATCGGGAAGGTCGTATCTTGAACAGTTTTTGAATGGAATGGTGCAAACATATATAAGTGAAACTTTAAACGCGTTTTTTCTCGAATCAACATTTTTCAAAATTGCTGACATCATAACTAAACGAGAAATTGACAGATCGACTTCAAATTAAAACTGAGTATTTTTGAATACATTTGCCATGCAATGAACTACGATCTTTTTGATTGGTTGAAAATTTTCAATTTGGCATAAAAAAAACGACAATTTTTACTCATTTTCATTTCATTTACTCATTTGGCCGGAATCATGCCAGCAGTTGGGGTACTTTCTTTTTGGCCCCTCCGAAGACAGCCCATAACTCCGTTATTTTTCACCAGTTTTGTAAAAAAAAAATATCTAAAAATATAGCTGAAAATATACTTTATTACGTTCAGAGAAGTTCGAAATGTTTAATTGCGTACTTTCTCTTAAAAAAAATCACGAAAAGCGCCTATTTTTTCATGCGTCACACTGATATAGCCCCTAATAGAATTAAACACAGGTTCCGAAGGGTGGTTTGTTCTCTCCCTGCCTATTTAGTTTCTACATTTCGAAATTCCATCAACCAACAGAGAGAAATTCTTTTATCTCGTACGCCGATGTTTTCACGATATCGACGTCGGATGATGATGGAATTGGCTCAAAAGTAAGTAGCTCTCTTTTCGATCTTTCTTTATTCTTCTCTGCAACTAACCAACACTCTACTAAACAGCGACCAAAATTTTACGTGTAACACTGAAATTTTACGTGTAATACTGGACAGCTTGTGCTCCTTCACTCCTCATAAGAACGCGATAACCGCCAAAGTGCAGAGCCGCAACAAAATACTGAAATGGCTAACATGCAGCTCACAGGGACGAGACAAAGAAATGTTGT